GATAGAAATACTCAAATGGCAGGAAAGTTCGTTCGAAATTTAGCTGAGATGATAGCCCGTAGGCTTCCCGAATACGGTTATCTTGTTTCTAAAAATTCGTTTATTAAGCGTTCGTTGAAGGAGGACTGCATTCATTATCAAGATCCTGTTGGTTGTTTTCAACTTGCTGTTTTGTCGCCTCTTAGAAACCTGACTAATAAACCGAGAGAAAACTGGTTTGTAGTCGTAGACGCCTTGGATGAATGTATTACACAAGGTGAAACAAGACACAGTATTGTCTATCTGCTAAACAACAACATTCACCTGTTTCCGCCGTGGTTCAAGGTCATTGTGACTTTGCGAAATGAATCTGAAGCTTTTCTCCGTTCAAGTAAAGTGAAAACGATAGTTATTGATCCTGAAGACTCGAGAAACCATAAAGACCTTGAAATCTTTGTGACGAGAAGACTTGAAGCTCCTTCGTTGCATCGTTTAACACGGAAGTTGACAACCAAGTTTTTGAGTAAAAGTCAAGGGAACTTTCTGTTCGTGAATGAGTTGCTTAATGATTGGGAGCATACAACAACAGAATTAGGGAACGTGTTCGACTTACCGAAGACGCATGGAGATCTTTTTTACACCTACTTCAAGAGGCTATATCCGAGTAAAGAGAGTTTTAAGCCTGTTCGGTATATTTTGGAGTTATTAGTTTCGACATTTGAACCATTGACACCCAACCAAATCTTCGAATTGCTCAAAACGGGAGAGAATAGCCTAGATGAATACGATTTTAAGAATAGATTAAAGGGGCTTAGTCACTTTCTACGATATGGAGAAGACAATACTCTAACACTATATCACTTGTCTCTAACAGAGTGGCTCACCAGTAAAGAGAACGAGGATTTTTTTGTGAGTAAAAGGAAAGGACACGAAACATTCTGTGAGTACTACATCGGCCTGATTAGGGAAACAGAGGAAAGTAAGCTGTCGGAATACGTTCTAAATTTAGCGCAACACATTGCCTTAAGTGGTATGAAAATGGCCTTTGTTCAAGAATTTATCAATCTCCCTTCACAGACAGTCAATGCGTCAGATCTTCAAAACAATAGAACTCTCCTTCATCGTGCAGCAACCATAAACAACAGTGATGCACTAGAACTTGTTTTAAGGCATTTCAGTTGTATCGATTGTGCTGATGATCGCGGAATTACACCCGCGTTTTTGGCAGCAGAGTATGGGCTTGTGGACAATCTTGCTTTGTTGGTCGAGAAAGGAGCCGAAATTAACCGAAAAACAAAGACGATGGTTGAATTTAACAAAGGGAAGATAATACAAGCCTTACAACAAGCCATTAATAATGAATCAGATATATCGGCTGCGAATCGTGTAATAGACATGTCTCTCCATCAGTCTAAATCAAAAGTGTTTGATTCATCGCTGCTTTACGCAGCAGCCAAAGGAGGGCATACAAGCGTTGTTCGTTTTCTTTTAAAGAACAATGCTAACATTTCCATGTTGAATAGTGGGCATCTAACTGCTATCCAAATAGCCGCTGAAAACGGACACGTTGAGGTTGTTAAAACCCTTTATGGGGCAGGCGCAGTTGCAGATAAATCCTCTCTGTATCGTGCAGCTGCAGACAATAGGTTAGAAGTGGTGAATTTCCTGTTGAACATCGGTGTCAAAGATGATTGTCGAAGCATTAACTGTTTTAAAGCAGAACAACGCATCTTTTTGGGCTTACCATCACCAGCCTCCGTAGCAAGCGTTTCCGTGAGGTTTGGCGAAAATGATATAGGTCCCGGCTCAAATCAACGTGATTGTGCCCTTGAGGCAGCTGTTGCTTCAGGCCACGATGAGGTTGTTAAAAGTCTCCTTTCTAAAGAACATAATGCCCGTATTTGCTCTGGTTATTTAGGAAGAGCTCTACTTGGTGAAGTCAGCCAGGAGAATAACCGTGAATATGTTGATATAACCCTTGGACGAAGACCGCTTGTTACTTTCATTCATCCCAACGGTAAAGAAAATGTATATATACCTTCCCTCGATTTTACAGAATCTGGCATCATCGAATGTAGAAAGCCTTTAAATTATTCAGTCTTTCATCTACTGAGTTATCTCTCTCCAACTTTTGAACACAACAACACTTTCTACATATGTCCGAGATGCCGTAGACTTGATGCGCACTCAGCATTGTGTAAAGAGTCAAAGGGTCCCCTTGCTAAGAGTATTGAACAATACCCAAAGAAAGAATGGGTAATAAGCTCCTGTTTTGACGCTGAGGGATTTGCACCGCTACACAGAGCAGCACAAGGAACCAATCTGGTAGCAATTCGTTATTTTCTTGCGAATGGTGTAGATACTTCTATTTTAAGTCAAAATGGACATGACGCGTTGACACTTGCAGTTCTTCATGCAGGGAGGAGGCGATTGTGGGAATGTGAGGGTCGAGTTGCAGCCGATGTAGATTATCAACATCTGATACGGGCCGAACAAGCGGCTATTACGCTTCTGCGCCACGCAGTGAATGGTGGATTCAAGGTCAGGTGCAACTCCAGCAAACCAGACCTGACTTTATATCATTTAGCAGCATCTCGTGGATTAGTGAAGTTTATAGAAACGTTGTTTAACGAAAACGATTTGCACCAGTTGGATGTTGATTGCGCCAATGCGGATGGGATAACGCCCATATACCTTGCAAATCTTTTCCAACAGAGAGTACAAGACGGCCTTGACAATCCTTGGAAAAAAGTCATTCAGATAATCAAACAACATGGAGGTGAGATGCGATACCCTAGACAGGAAGCTGAGTACAATTTAATTTATAACGGCGTGTACGGCTGGATTCCATACGAGTTTACATTAGATCTCAGACCTGACATAAAACATTTCATTACGTCGCTTCTGATGTCGTATGAAAAAAGTGAGAACAAATCATTTCGTTGCTCTTTCGGTCGTAACCTGGATTTAGCTCGTGAAAACTACTATCACGATTGGCTCGTGACATGGCTTTGGAGAAAAATCAATGATACAGTTGGACCTGTTATTAAGCATTCAGAGGAAGATATGTCGACCTCGAAAAGAGGCACGAGACCCCATTCACCAAGGGAAAGAGAACAGTTTCGAAGAGACATGAGACGGTGTTCGTTGCACGTGAGGCAGTTTCGTCGATATCTTTCTAGAATTTTGTTGCATAAACAAGCCTATCCAAAAAATATTCTGAAGAACGATTACTGGGAAACTTTCAGCAAGGCACGAGGTAACTACTGGTTTCAAAGAGAACTTCAAATTCTAATGAATATGCGACATACGGAGGTCTTCCGAGCCTTTGCTTGTTTAAAATCGCTGTCTTCCAGACTTAAACCAGTTTATCATTTAGATGCAAGATCGGTTACATACAGTGTTCGGCAGTATGAGAAAAACCCACCTGTTGACAATTACCTTAATTCAATTTGCGATAGCCTACAGTACATTTTTGAAGGCTACATATCGTTTAGGATAAGTAGGCAACAACCCTCTGAATTCAGACTTAGGGAAAATGAGTTTTTCAGTCGTTCTGGGTTTTATAACGGGCCAGTAAAAATATCTAGACAGACTCTCCTAATTGGAAGTAATCTCATCAAATGGCCCCTGGAATTTTTTTTAAATCGCTCACTGGGTTTCTTTCGTCGTTATGATTATCTCAAGACTCTACACATAGGATTAGAGCCACGTACTTATGTTCATCTTTACCCCGACAAAATTCGACAACTTATGAATCGTGATAAAATGTGGTATGATCATGCATAGCTAGATAGCAATGCGGTTTAACTGCATGATCCATTGCCGATAGAGTCAGAAGAAAAGGGTGATCTCTGACGGAAATAACAACCGACTAGTCGGATTTGAAGGAACTCTGCGATCATTTCTATGTTTCTTTCGCTTTTCTTTACCGTCAGATTCTTGTCTTTACCTGAATTGTTTACTGTTATCAGGTTTAATAAGGCAGCTATTGAAGAACGGTTTTATCACGTAAATAGTGAGACACACATCCTATCCAAAAACAGTACTCCTGACTTATCGACTTTTACGACTCGGCGGAATTTTTCTGAAGTGATTTTTTCGTTAGAATTTACAGACTGACGTAGTTTCTGTAATCAAATGCATTAAAGGTCTCTTTTTCTATAAGCAAAGATCTGACATAAGCCACGCCAAGGAACAAGCGCACTACACACTGTGTATGCCTCGTTCTATAAGCAAAGATCCGACATAAGCCACGCCAAGTAGCAAGCGCTCTACACACTATATATTCATTGTATTATAATTTTTGAACGCACGGAAGCGTCTAAATTTCGAACCTAGTTTGTGGCCTAAACTGGAAGCGACCCACTTACTATATGTGTTTGAGCAGCGTTTTCGAAAGCTAGAATTAAATTTCTTGCTGGAGATGCTGATTCCCCGAACTGTATTTTATGTAGTACACGGTAGTATACGCATTTGTAAATAATTTTAAGGCACACTTTATCACAAAAGTGTCTAAGGAGTTTATTTAACACCCACAAATTAAATAAGGCATGTCACTCTGCACACAACAGATCTCCAGCCCAAAATATTCTTTTATAATCATACATATCGTGGTACACGTTAAGAGAAGCTAAAAATTTCTGCTTCATTTATCTACGATATTCCCCATTTTGCAATTAACTTCCCTACCATTTTCTGAGGTTGAGTTGTGTCATTTAATAAGATCAGGTAGCCTGCGTAGCAGGCTCTTAGAAGTGGTGGGCGCAAGAAAGAACGGGTTGCGCGAGGAACACACGCCAGAGAAGTAGGTCCCTCTTCCCTCGCGTGTCTCTCTCGCGCGCTCCGTTGTTTTCTGCGCGTTACTTCCAAGCGCCTACTACGCAAACTAAAGATCAGGCAATTATTGGTAAAAATGGCCTCCTTAAAATTTCGGTATAAAGACTAGGAGGAAAAAAAATCCTAAAAATGTTTATGAAATTATGGGAAAGACCTTTAGCTACCTTTAGTGAGGACCCAATACAAACGCTAAATCTTTTTGATGGGGCGAAAAAATCCCTATAATTAGCGAGATGCCAAAGTTTCCCTATAAAACATCCTAACAGAGAAAGGGTTTTAAGGGCAGCTCAAACGTAGCGCAGAAGAGTTCTTAAACATACAAAAACGATTTCAGGCAGTAATTGAGACTCATTTAGAAAGGTCAATTATTGGGTTCTTCCGATAAGGAGGGAATGGCTTTTACAAAGTGTTTGCAAAAACTTCATTATGGTTGTCTAAAAAGTACAGCATTAAGAAAAGAAAACGCCATCTGTTCATATGCTTTGTAGTATGAGAAAATCGTGAGAGCCATGAGAATAGCTGCTCGCAGACTTCAGTGTTTACGGGGAAAACAACACAAAGGACAAAGTTAATGACTATCCAATACCCGGTAGTTTAGAAATATATAGTTAGTTCAGCGGGTCAGCGAGACAGATGGCGGCTACAACTGGCTGCCTAGCCTGCGTAGCTGGCGGGTTTCTTGTGCCCGGGGAACTTTTTTGGCGCAGAGCCGCCATGCGAAGTGAGTGGCGAAGCCGCGAGAGAAAATCTTCAAATTGACTTGTATACCATGACTAGTTCAATCGATAAAAACCGATATCGGAAAACCGTTCGATAAATCGATAACTATCGATAATTCAAATTTAAACGTTATCGATTTTATCGATCAATCGATGGAAATCGATACTCACAACCATCGCTGCTCTTTTAAGGTATTGAATTTATCGATTTATCGATTTTATCGTTTTCATTAAGGACCGTGTATTGTTGACACTTGTAAATGTAAAATACCGGTTCTTCCGAGACAGCGTTTAAAAAACAAGCTGTGTTTTTGCCGGTGCATTTAATAAGGTGCTTATCTGGGCGTCTTAAGACCTTCTCGTTCGCTCAATAATTCTAATGTCCATTTTATTGGCATTTTCACATGTTTTCTGCACTTTTTAATGTCGAGTTCCTCTCACATTTATATCATTTATTTTTGGTACATTACTTCTGTTTTGGTTTTGCTTGAGTTCATCATCTACTTTGTTGTCATTATTTATAAGACGATTTTTAAACTCTGCTATGCAATATGATTTTTGCTGCAGCAAGGGTTTTTCTAACAAAATGTCTACTGGAGATCATGTCTAGAATTGTAACTACAATGTAGCTTCGGTACCTGAAATGACAGCTACAGTGGAACCTCGATTTAACGAAACTCTATATAACGAAGTCCTCGGTCTAACGAACGATATTCTTCACCCCAGTATTTATGGTAAGATATATGACGAAAGAACCTCGATATGACGAAACCTCTACATAGCGAACACATTTTGTCAGTCCCTTGGCCCTTCGTTACATCGACGTCCACTGTACTACCGTCGTACAATGTCTTAACGGTGTTTAACTTGAATAGTTCCTAAGTAAAAATATAATGCAAGAAGAAGTTGTTACGTTTTGTTTCTCCGCTGAATCATGCTAAATATAATACCGACCATGTTACGTATTTGTTCAATATTTGATTTGTGAAATAAATCTTTAAACTTGTCCTACGAGAGTAATTCTTTGTTAGACTGGTCTTAAATACGTGGAAACATATTGCGCCGATAAATTTGATAAGTTCGATAAAGTCGATAACAATTTAAAAATCGATCATTATCGATTACTCACCACGTATCCCTTCATCGATTTTTATGGATTTCCGATACAATCAACTAATTTTTATCGATTTTATCAATTGTTATCGATTATCGGTTTTATCCAGGTTTTTTTTATCGATTGAACTAGTCAGGTGTATACCCACCCTTCTCGCGGTTCCTTTGCCAAAACAATACAGCACTCCCACGCTTATCCCGCCAGCTACGCAGGCTACTGGCTGCCCTGACTCCACTAGACCTTATGGGTTATCCCAGGCGGTTAGTGCTAATAAATCTTTAAGAGCAAATGTCTGTAAAAATCGAGCAACCGGCGGCCACGGTCAAAAATTAAATTTCGCTCATATCTTGTCCATACATACTCATTAGTAAGTAACTAAACGTGGTGTAGTTTGTTTTTCAAAAGGCCGCTTGGATTTGGAGAAAATCGACAAAATCAATTTTCGTGGTCGGCGACTTGAAAACAACCAAAATTTGAGGCAAAATGAGGCGGTCTCAAAACTTCACTCGCACGCAAAAAGGAAGAAAGCGTGGTAAAATATTCCCCGATAAATCAATTTATAAAGGGTTTTAGCCCTAGTATGGCGGTGAATTCTTATCTTAACGATAATGTGGAAGGTAAACAATTTTACTTTAGTTTTGGTTCTTTTTCAACTCTACGAAGTTTAAATTTAGACCTTAAGTCGCGATTTAATTTTTAGGCATGTGCTACACCTTGGTTTTTCCTGAAACTCAAGCTATAAGTTAGTTAAACATTGTACTAAAACATATGTAAGAACTGGCTTGGGTAATTTAATTTGCGCTTCAGACGAACCTTCTGAACTTGAACAAAAAATATGATGCATTTGCATAATTCACCAACGGCTTGCTGTTGCCGAAAGGGATCATTGGCACTTCTTGAGAAGAAACCTGATGTACCTCTATAGTACGATAGTTAATTTGCCAACATGCAATAGAAATTAACTTACTTTTATAGTTTGGGACACTTGCTTTACTTTTTCTACTCTCGAGCTCCAAAATTCTGCTGGCGCTAAGGCATTTTGTAATTTGACCTCTAACGAGAGGTCATTGAAGATGGGCCAGGTTATTAAAATGTCACTCAAACCGAATGAGCGTTATGATCTAAATTCTTAAGGTGGTTGAACAAAATATTTCACAAGAAAAATATGTTTTTAAGACATTTTCGGCGATTTGAAAGATGTTCTTACCATTTAATAGAATCAGTTACAACGTACAGGGACGGAAGTGTGAGAAGACAAGGAGTGGTGTTGCGTGACAACGAAAACCATCCTTCGAACAGCCAACAAAATTGTTTATACATTTCTTTGATGTTTCCAAAGTTATTTGTTCAATTATACAACAACTGAAGGGTTGCATAGTCTGGCTGCCAACAGTACTTGATTTAAAAGTGTAAAGTGGTGGTCAGTTTTTCGGACACCTGCGCGTGTGATAAAAGCAATGACTATTAAGGAATTTGGAAAACATCAAAATCATACACCCTGCCAGTACACACGAACACTTCGTAGGTTTTAAACTTTGAACAACCTGGATAAATGATCTCGGAAGCGTTTTTTGTTTTGAGTGAAGAATCACAATAAAAAAATCACGTTATTTCGTATGTATATTTTGGGGAAGGGTAGCTCTGAATCTTAGTTGGGTACTACCTAGTAAGACTCCGATGGTAAGACCGTTGAGGGGATAGAAGAATCCATCGAAAGGGTTACGCTGTAACTCTTGGTCAAGGATGTTAGGTAAGCAATTCGCTCTAAACCCTGTCTCCCCTTTTCAAATGCTTGCACAGGCTAACCAGCATTAAAAACTTACATTAGCAAACGCAACTAAGAAAATATTGCAAAGTTATTGGGGAAATGCTATCCAGGCAGGGCGGCCTTGTGAAGTGGTAGATGACGTAGCGCTATTTTCAAGTCTACAAACCTCTCCTTGAGTGTGAAGACTTAAGGCATGAGTTTCAGTTTCTAGTATCGAATATATACAATGAAAGAAACCTGGGGTCTAGAACGCTGACCTGTTCGTCTCTCATTCCTTTACCAAAAGATATGTCAAAGTATATCAGACAATTTCAGTTCCTCCTTACAGCATGCTCGGCTACTCAAACAAGCTTTAAAATCTGACACCAAGAAGATATACCGCAGATACAGCAAGTTAGAAAGCTGGAATCAAACGTGTTTACCAATGGGTTAGGCCCTGACGTCTTCAAATTCACGTTAAAATGACACTGTTTAGGCAAAAGCATTAAGTTTACTTTTCCAGTAAATTCCGTCTTGCGGCCTTTGACAACGGACCAGGTTTCCCGTTTCTCGAAAGTCCCGGTAACTTTTCGGGCCCGAAATCAAATATTCAAATCGAAATATAAAGAATAAGAGCGCTGCTCCTGGCTAGCAAACTACTCCATTTTGTTTCATTAACTGATAGTTTTATCATGTTAGATGCAAAACTATTAAAACCTCGATCTTTAATGTAAACGGAGACAACTTACCGGGCCCGTTAATTATCGGGACTTTCGAGAAGTGAGCATAATTCACCAACGGCTTGCTGTTGCCGAAAGGGATCATTGGCATTAATTATCGGGACTTTCGAGAAACAGGTCGGTGGGGCCCGTTTGTCCAAAGTCCCTATAACTTTTCGGGCCCGAAATCAAATATTCAAACCGAAATAAAAGGAATAAGAGGAGCGCGGGTCCTGGCTGGCAAAATACTTCATTTTTTCATTAACTGATAGTTTTATCATGTTAGATGCAAAACTATTGAAATTTCTATCTTGCATGTAAACAACAACAGCTTTAGGGGCCCGTTAATTATCGGGACTTTCGAGAAGTTTCAGTCTCAAGAACGGTACCAAAGCGCACACTCAGAAAATGGCAAATGACCGAGAGTAAAACTGAAAAAAAACTATGTGGGTAAAGAAAGCAGTGGTAGCGTTAGGCGATAGTTGACAGGGGCACCCAACGACAGTTTCCTCTTAAATACATTGAAAACCCTTTTAATTTAGGCTATCTAAATCACTAAGTTCTGTGTGGCGCCATATAATTATAACAACTGTTCGGTCATCCACAGGGCAACTTGAGTAGTTTTTTCGATCGAAATTACAAGTGCTTCAATATTATTTTTTTTGAGAATTTTGAAATTTTTTCTGATTCCTTCTCTATTACAAGTTTTGTATCCGAAAGTTTTAATTCCCTTTATATGGAGAAAACCTGTCTCGTGTAGGAGAGTCACCCTCCTAGCCGAGAGAAAAAAAAAACATTGACCCAACCGGCCTTCTCGCATGCTCTAATTGTCTCGCCTTGGCTATGCGAGCCCTTTACCGATACGGATCGGATTTGATCTAGCAATCGGACCGAAATGTCTCCTTCCATTTGACAAAATTATTTTCCCTAGGACCAATGATCTGTATCCTGCTTACAAGCACGATAACCAAACTCGCGGTGGCTTTGGTTTGGTCTTTGCAACTGGAATGCACCTTCCACTGGGCACGTGGTTTTTCCGAAATTTCAAACAGGAATTTTTGTTCAATGGAAAGCGCGTAAAGTGCCTACGGAGAAACGTTGGCCCGGCTAGGAGGCTGACCCTACCATTACAAAAGGGTGACTGGACAAAGTGGGTCACCCTTCTGGCCGAGCAAACTTTTTGTAATTTAAATGGTTCGCCATGTTTTCAGTAAGGAAATGTGTGAAACGTTGCCTTTTCCAGGGAAGCTTAGCCTGAGATCATGCCCTCTCCCTATTAAGGGAAGCACGGATAGGCGGGTGACCCTTCTCCTCGAGACAAATTTTCTTCATATAAGTGGGGTCTAAATTTTAATTCTTTACATTAATTTCAATTATTAATTATTATTATTATTATTAATTTCAATACAGTGGAACCCCGTTGATGCGACCAGCGTTGGGCCATAAAATCCTGGTCGTGATACCGAGGTGGTCGCATTAAAGAGGTTTTCAAAATAAAATGACTCGGAGATTTTCACGTCTGGGTGAAAGACTATGGGAGGTGAGCTGAGGCAAGAGGTGGTCGTATAAACGGGGTGGTCGCAAGGCGGGGTTCCTCTGTATATAAACAGACTGAAACAAGAGTTTGACGATCGAATAACCATGTTCAGATTAGAAAAAATATATATACTGAAAGAAAATTGCAGAATGTTTACGAAAACTGTTATCCAAAAAAATGGAACTTGCATATGTCAGAGGAAAGACAGCCGCCCGATAGGTAATAACCCGGTGAAATAGCTAGACATTGAAGCCTGAAGTCAATCAAAGGCACATACAAGGCAACGGGGGAAAGTTGACGTGAAAAACGATGTTTTTGGACTTATTTAGTATTGTATGGAAGCACGCTTTAAGAAAACTTAGGAAAAAAACCAAAAAAACCATGATTTGGATTGTTAGTAGCATAATATGCTACTTCTGGCAAGAATATTAAAAAAACGGCGTCGCTCAAATGGTTAGATTGGGAAGCCTTTGAATACTGTCACGCAATACTTTTGACCAGACTTTTATATCCAAAGAGGCATCGGCAGCCCGAAAGTTTCACTATCAAAATCGCAGTTTTTGTGAGACCTAGAATTTTTAAATGGCAATGGATGTAAAAGTGCGACTGCGGAAAAGATAGGCCATGTTCTGTTTGAGGTTATTTTCACGCACCACGTTTCCTCGAGTTTTTGGATCTTCGGTTGATTAGCATGGGACAAGGCGCAATGCCAGTTGACAAAGAACGGGAAAACGCATTTGAGGTAACAAAAATCACACATGTCCAATACTCTCGACTGGATTCCAGTGGAACAAGAAGATGAAATAGTAGTTCCCATTCCTCCTCAGTTAATCCCAGCTGATCCGCGAAGTTCCAATCGTCCCTAGTTTACTTTTGAAAAGACCTCAGAGTGGAGTTTTTTCAACTTTTCTAGACTCGAACCCGGTAGATCTTTAAATTTTTGTTGAAGCATTTCCATTTCACTTGAAGACACGCGATACAGAGAAAAGTCGATCCAAGGCAAAGATAGAGAAAGCCTCATCTTGACTAAGACAGAGACAAACACACACTGACTCACAATTTAGTCATAAACAAATTTTATTACTTCTACAAACAAAGCTTGTTTTGAATGTCATTAATTACAGTCATAAAAATACGGCAACCAACCAGAATGCTTCGTCAAACGAGACAGCCAATGAGCGTCTTTCAAATTCCGGTCAACCAATCAAAACAACTATGACATCATAGTACCCCGGAATACATATGACATCATCTTCCGAAAATAACTAAAACCTGTCAAACCGGTTATACCAACCATGACCGCCACAAGATAAAAATAGAACATGACATCATTGATAAACCCGTCAAACTGGATATACTTAATGAGATTCCACCGCAAGTTAATGAGATAACACAGCAGTTTATTCATGAGATCAAAGACAAAAGGTTATGACGTCATTAGCGTTAATGTATTCCTCCGCAATCTAATGAGAATCCTCCGCAAAAAAGAGATTAATTTCATCCCTCCGATACTACTCGTCTTCAACTCCTGTAAGAGTCCTGATTTCTTCATCATTTGCCACTGTGGAAAAAAACCTTAAGTGGCATTTACAACATGACAACTTCACTTCCTTTATCATCCCCGCTACACCCATTAAAAAACCCCTTCTTATGTCAGAAGGACTAAAACTTTGCCTCTCGCTTTCTGTTATTAGTACTTACAAGGCTCAGTCTTTGGGCCTCTACTGTTTACCGTTACTGTATCCGCAGATTACATTGACTTATTCATTTCTTCCAAAAAGTTCTTATTTTAGTATTTGGGGCGTTTAAAAAAGACTTAGGAAAAAAAATTCTTTAAATTATTAGTTGAAATCCCAAGGCTTTCCCTGTACAAATTAGAATTAGAATACAAAACAAATTGTTCCATTTTCCTGGAGTCAAAGTCCTCCGTACACTCTTCGCCCTTACAACGTTGGTAATTCTTCACGTGATACATCATGTGACAGCATTTGACCAATGAAACCATTCCTTCATGCTCCTCACTGAGCCATGCAGGGAAGCCGACGCGGAAGTGCTGGAGAGAAAAGAGTCCGTCGATTTCTTGAGAAATTTTCCAAACTTCTAGCTGTTTTTATCAGTCTTGCAGTCATGGGCTGATTCAATCTTCTCACCAAGCGTTTCATTATGCCGAGCTGTGAAAAAGTGAATGTGTATCTTTCTTGTTGCATACAGGTAGAGAAATCTTAGTTGCTGTGAGATTCCTCAGAGCTGAATACGAGAGACGGTCTATGTTGAGACCGCTTTCTTGGCTTAACACAATGCAGTTACCCCTTAAAAACGTCTACACGAGATTGAAAATAGTTTCGAGAAGAAAAGCAGACTTCCAGGAAGAAGGTGACGCGAAGGACATGTACGACCTCTTCACGGCTTTTAACAAAGGTAATGACGTTATGACGCTTGTGGAGGGAAGTCCAGGAATCGGTAAAACCACGTTTTGTCTTAAACTTGCCTTTGACTGGGCTCTTGAAAGGGTACCAGCCAACTCTTCCTTTCATAATTTGGAATTTGTACTGCTCCTTAAATGTCGAAAAATAGATAAAGATATAATGGAAACTATCAAAGAACAGCTTTTGCCAGAAGATATGGAAGAAGAGACCCGGACGAAGTTTTCAGCATTCATTAAGGATACTCATAACCAAGAGAAAATCTTGATCATTCTGGATGGTTTGGATGAACTTCCCGAGAAATCGAAACATTTCGTCGATAAACTACTTCGTAGAAGAATTTTGCCATTTTGTTATGTCTTGGTTACATCCCAACAGGAAAAAGGAATTGATGTGCGAAAGAACTTTGAATTTGATCTTCTTTTGGAGATCAAAGGATTTACAGACGATGATGCGTATTGTTATATCAAAAGGCATTTTCAAAATGTCGGTCCAAAGCATAGTTCAAAAGGACAGAGGCTCGCGAAGGAAATGAAAGAAAACACCTTATTGAACGCACTCCGAAATAATCCGCTTAATTTACTTCTACTTTGTGTTATTTACGAGGACTATGACGGAAAATTGCCAACTTCGCGGACTGAACTTTACCAAGTCATTGTACAATGTCTTTTGAGACGATATTGTGCAAAACACAGCTTGGTAGTTCCAGAAGATAACACTGTAGAGACACGTTTTGACGAAGATATTCTTGCCCTCGGAGAGTTGGCTTGGACGTGCCTGCTGAACGATCGTCAATCTTTTTACGAAGAAGAACTGGCAGAGCGTGAGGTCAGAAATAAAAACTTGGTAGCTCGCAAAATAGGCCTTCTTTACAAGGAAGAAAGACTGAAGAGGATCCTGAAGTCACAATACGAGTACTGGTTTCTTCACAAGACATTCCAAGAATATTTGGCTGCCGCTTTTATAACGCACAAGCTGAAGAAAGGAGAGCTAAATGTGTTTCAGTACACAACGTTTGATGATTTGGTCCAAAAGTATCCACAAGTTTTTCTTTTTGTTTCTGGTATGCTTGGCGAGAAAGCAACCGTTTTGTTCACTCAAATTGGGGAGCAGTTGAAGGTGAAGAACGGCTGGTACTGGAAGAGGTGCAGCAAGCAGGTCTCAACGTTCTTTGTGGAAGGCTTTAATGAAAGTGGACACGCTGAGCAAATGGCGCTTACTCTTTGTTCCTATATACCCTTCCCACAGCAAGTTGAAATTAACGTATTGAGTAATATATTTTCTGATACCGAGTACAATATATTTCAAGTTTTAGAGGCATGCGAAAGCTTCTGTAATTTACAACAGCCAGTTATACTTACCGTTCACGAAAAAAGAGTTCCCCAGAGATTTCATGTTATGTACCTCGATGTTATTGCAAAGTACATACAATCCTGCTCGCAGACACAGACATTAAACATTTTTACACCTGCAGTGACATCGGAACTAGCCAACGCCCTACATAACGGCTTATCTGGAAACACGACTTTATCAGAATTTACTCTACAAATCTGCGGTAGTTTCCCTTGTGACGCAGCAGTTGTCCTTGGTGAATCGTTAGCTGCACGCAAAGCTTTGAGGAAAGTAACGTTTCAACTTGACAGCGTTTGGGGGGAGACTATTGCCAGTGCTATTGAACCTGCTTTGTCTGCGGACACTGTTTTGAAGTCTGTTGACCTCAACGTTCATGGGTCATTGTGTGATACTGCGGTCCATAGTTTAGGAAAGCTTCTATCAAATAAAGCTTTGGCTTCATTTTCCCTTAATATCTCTGGAGATGTGCAAGAATTTGTAACTGCTATTATTAGCAGAGGAATTGTGCAACAAACCGCCCTAAAGTCATTGGCTTTGGCGTTGACGGCAACCTTAGTCTCTCTGGTGTGAATGCTCTTCAAAACAGTCTTCTAGAAAATCGTTCTTTAAGTGATTTAGTACTGTCTCTCCGTGGACAGATTCCTGACAACTGGCAGTCTGTTGTGGAAAATCTTCGTTCGGTAAAGAAGGGGTCAGTTAACTTTTCTTTTTATCCAGACCCTGCCAGTAGTGTTACATGTAATCAAGTGGCGCATTTTCGTCCTGCTGTGGTCCAGAGGGGGTTGGAAACAAAACATCACTTCACTGTAGTTCTTTGGGGAGAGCTGAAGTGCGGTGGAGCAAAAGATTTATGTGAGATTTTGGTGCGTGTCCCCCTGACAAGCCTGACTTTGAAAGTGCATGGAAAATTAAGTGATGGTGTTGCTAATATTCTTAAAAGATATATCGGACGACAAAATACACTATCATCCTTGACAATCGATATTTGGAGAAAGTTGGCCCCGGGTACAGGAACCCTACTTCAGGAACTATCAGATAACAACGTAACGGTTCAAGTAAAGGAGCATGTTGTTCCTAAGGAAGCATGTAATGCTCTTGAAATGTCTATTGAAAATCCTGCATCACTGACAGCAATGTTCTCTGAAGTTAAAAATACCAGAAAGGAGAAGATCAGTCTTAAAATAATTGACGACGATAAAGTATTTGGTGACTGGCCACGTCTGCTAGGTGATGCTTTGGCAGAAAGCACATTACTAACCACGCTGGATCTTACAGTGAGTAACTACACAATGAATCCAGGAATAGGGAGAGACCTCGGCGATAGTTTGCTGCGAAGTTCTTCATTAACAGTTTTAAGTCTTACAATAAACAACTACAGTAACATGGCAAGAGGCTGGGAATGCATGCTGATCAACAGCTTGGCTAAAATGGCGTCATTAACAACACTTAGTCTCTCAATTGACGATCGTGGCGAGGTGAGGAAAGTTGAAGAAGATTTGATGGCACTGAAGTCCTTGTCTACACTTTCCGTCGTAATCAACGGTAGTAATTTAACTTACTTTTGGGGTAAATTTCTGAGAAAATGTTTGGAAGAATGCAATTCACTACAAAAACTCTGCCTTACAAGCAACAACTATGAGGCGGAACAGGAAAATGACCCCTACGATGCCACCCTCGCTCCCTTATTAAAAAAGCATGTGACTTGGGTACAAGGTGTCTGTTTTGGACTGGTAAGTACCACATCATTAACGGAACTAAATATGACGATTAACAACATTACCTGTACTGATTCTACCTTGGAAGGGGTATTTATTATGGGACTCGCAGGAAACAAATCAGTAACGTCTCTCACTGTTACAGTCAGTGATTACGAATACTTGAGCTGTAAAAAGTGGGTACGCGCGCTGAAAAATTGTTTGCTATGCAACAACTCGTTAACTACAGTCACTCTGACGGTAAATGACTACAGTGAAGGTGAACGGCATGATGGGAGGCCTTTTCCATCTTTGGAACGGTCTTTTATGAAAGACAACACATTATTAACTGAACTTAATCTGACAGTCAACATCCGCAGTGAAGTAAGTGAAGATTGGTTACCACGTTTTTGTGACTTTTTAATGGCGAAAAACTCCTCCCTGAGAACAGTGAGATTGCAAGTCAACAACCGTTGCGCTACTAGCAAAAGTCGTATATATGACTTAAGCAAACTTCGGTTAAAATATCGATCATTATCCACATTTGAACTCTCTGTAACTTTCTATGGAGAGTAAAATAAGTTTCAAAAGTGTCATGACATTGACGGGGCTTGGCATGGATAATAGACTTTTGTTAGAGTAATAAATAAGGACAAGATAAAAGTGTGGTTTGAAAAGAAAAAGATCTTTGTTTAAATAGAATTCGAACGCTGCCGTTTTTGTCTCTCCATGCTGTATTCCCGGCCTAGACAAAAAAACTTTGTCTCCCACCACAAGTAAGTCTAAAGATGCATAGTGCTATCTACCGGATAAATTAATATGTAGTGGATAACTATTAGGGAAACCAACTGCTTTATCAAACGCACTGAGACTTGTACCATATAACACTATCCGGGTCATCTCCAGTGTAATATAATTTATTCGTTTTCTTTATTTTAGGGACTATTGTCAGGGTTAGGTTCATTGTTGTTTTCCTTTCTTTGTTCTACGTCAACTGTGAGTAATAAATTATATTACACCGGAGATGAGCCCACTATCCACCATCTCAACAGGTTTTTAAAGGGGTATTTTTCACTTTAATTTCCTCTTAAATAGGAACCATATAATTTTGTGCTTCGTAACCACGTTGTTTCGTCACTCCCTGACGCAAGAACAGGTCACTTGTTAATGTGTTGTCTTCTTAGGCAAGAAACTTTACTCCACATCAATTTTGTTTCTTTAACCGGGAGTGTAACCGGGTGCATTCTCACTGTATTGATATTACGAAGAAAGTTTATTCTGAAAAGACCACTGGTCTATATAAATCAAAGATTATCTCCCTTGAGCTGACTTTCTTTAAGTGATATCGCGAAGAAAAGTTTCATTGACGCTGTATTGTTACACTATACTACGAGGGAGTGAATACTTTAAAGCTAGCGTTCTCATTTGTAGTGTTCTTTTCACTTTAAGCCACAGCTTAACGTCCATAACGCAATTATTTGTAGTATACTCTTATTTTGGTAGTCAAGTGAAAATTGTGGTTCAGTATAATTTCGATGATATAACACAGCGTTTACACATAAGACCGTTGTTTTTAATCTTCAGCTGAGTTTGACAGCTTGTCTTGATTCCTGTAATTACACTAGAAGTTCATTTAACACCATTTCTGTATATAGCAATACAATTCGTATAGGTAATTTAGTGTTAAGCAACCCTTGGAATATAATTTGTTGACTACGAGCATTATTTCACCCAAAAGAGAATTGAGTGAGTAAAACGCGCGAGTGCACGCCCAGATTGCGTAATAGCGGAAAAGATAATGTGGTGGTGACCTGTACGTCATCTGGTCCAGAGTAATCAAGATTAATACAACATGAGGTACTAGTAGTTTTAGAGTTTGATAAATATTGTAACTTATGATTGTGACTTGTACGCCATCTGGTCCAGTGAGACCAAGATTAATACAACATGAGTTACTAGTAGTTTTAGAGTTTGATAAATATTGTAACTGATGATTGTGACTTGCACGTCATCTGGTCCAGTGAGGCCAAGGTTAATACAACATGAGTTACTAGGGGTTTTAGAGTTTGATAAATATTATAACTGGTTATTGTGACTTGTACATCATCTGGTCCGGTGTGACCAAGGTTAATACAACATGAGTTACTAGAGCGGTTTTCATTTGAGTGTCGAAAAGTAATTGGTTTTGCACTTTCTACACGATGCGATTGGCTTAAAAGATTCGCGCCACCTTTTCATCCAATCAGTTAATTACTTCGAGTTTTGATTGGTTCAATGTATTGTCTGTGTCCTATGTGATTGGTCAGAGTAATTACTTTGGTTTTGGTTTTACGACACTCAAACGAAAACCACTCTAGTAGTTTTAGAGTTTTATAAATATTATAACTGGTTATTGTGACTTGCACGTCATCTGGTCCAGTGAGGCCAAGGTTAATACAACATGAGTTACTAGTAGTTTTAGAGTTTGATAAATATTATAACTGGTTATTGTGACTTGCACGTCATCTGGTCCAGTGTGACCAAGGTTAATACAACATGAGTTACTAGGGGTTTTAGAGTTTGATAAATATTGTAACTGATGATTGTGACTTGTACACCATCTGGTCCGGTGTGACCAAGGTTAATACAACATGAGTTACTAGTAGTTTTAGAGTTTTATAAATATTATAACTGGTTATTGTGACTTGCACGTCATCTGGTCCAGTGAGGCCAAGGTTAATACAACATGAGTTACTAGGAGTTTTAGAGTTTGATAAATATTGTAACTGATGATTGTGACTTGTGCACCATCTGGTCCACTGTGACCAAGGTTAATACAACATGAGTTACTAGTAATTTATGAGACAGATTGTTAAATATTGTAACTGATCATTGGACTTGTACGCCATCTGGTCCAGTGAGGCCAAGGTAAATACAACATGAGTTGCTAGTAGTTTTAGAGTTTGATAAATATATATATGCTTGTCACCGGCTGGGAGGTCCGTAGTGGGAGAAACTGTGCTGCCTCGGGCGGTGCTCAGACCGAGGGCACAGTTTCTCCCAATACGGACCGACCTAGGCCGGTGAATAACATTTTTATCTTTTCCTTTTGAGATTTAAAAGTTTCAGAAAAATTTTACTTCAGCCTCCAACCTATGTGTGTTGAAGAAGGGCGCGTTCGTGTTGATGTTAATTCAAAGCGCGCGATCGATTGCAAACCAAAACAAAACATTACAACATGATTTTAAATTTTTAATATATAGATTTAGCCAAGGCTAAAAACGAAAGGTCCATTTTTAGACTTTTAATTACTTAAAACGAATAAGGTTCACCCTATTTAGAAATTAATACTGAATTTTAAAAAAAATTATAAATCAAATTCGATCACAGTAACAGGGAAAAGAATTCTTACTCATACGTGTGCATCATTGTTCCCCCCCTCTTTCACCACACCTCTTTCAGAAGTTTATTGTGTGTGAAATTTATTGTTTTCTGGTTGTCATTCACGAAACTCTTTGGCTGCGCCCACACGGTTCACGGTTTATGTTTATAGGTCAATCTTTCCGTCTCAAGGAGATTCTACCCAAATGTTAAATTAGGCCGATTTTTGTGTTAGAACATGTTTTCTTTCCAAAATCGGACCGACAAATCGTGTAACAACATGTACCCTTTAGATTATGCATCACAATATCTGCTACCCAGTAACCTTTACTATAAGTTAGACTTTTTGTTTCCGAAAAGACCCAAGAAGGTTGATGAACTTATTTAACATTTCCCCTTACGAACAACCATAATTTCGTAGTCTACACAAACTGCCCTTTGCGTGTTGTGTGTTTTAAATGCGGCTAAATGTGCGCTAGACGTAAACTGCAGCAAAGTCACAAGTCTGTCATTAAA